ACTGTTGCCTAATTCTTCCCTTTGAGATGTTAAACATATGCTTGTCGTACTGCTCTTGCCTTGATTACCTAAATGCACTTTTTACTTCCCAGCACAGTGATTTTCTTTCTCCTCACAGACATGAACACTATATTCTTTTATTACACAAATATTCATGGTTTTTCAAACTTTATCCCAGTGCTCAGCTGATGCCCCTTGTTTGAAAGAGGAGGTGATATCTCTCTGCTGGGAATAGAAGCGAGCAATTCAGGGGATATCCTTCAGCAAGGGGGGCAGCCCGGCAGGAGGGAGAGCCCTACAACCACGGGCACGTAGAGGTGTGGGAACATGTATCCCCCCCGGGAGGCTCCCACTGGAAAAAATCAGGACTTCTGCAAAAATGAAAAAAAAAATCCACTTTCTGTGTTTATGGGAGATTTTTTAAATGAAGTAAAAACCTGACACTGGACACATAAAGCTGTTTGCTTCACAAAACCACCTCCAAGTCAAGAAAGGAGAAGGAGCAGATGCAACATTTAAAACAGTCTCTGTATATCATACACGTACAATGATTCATACATTGAGCATGATCTTTCCGGAATATCCGAAGACACGATTCTTCACATCACGCAGTACCTTGTGATAACCATAAAATTGATGTGACCCACTGCATCATGACGTACGATGATTCATACATTGAGCATGATCTTTCCGGAATATCCGAAGACACGATTCTTCACATCACGCAGTACCTTGTGATAACCATAAAATTGATGTGACCCACTGCATCATGCATAGTTAAGTGGGTAATTAAAGGAAGATTAATCAGAGACATAACTACTTGAAACATTAAATTCTCTTCAACGCCATAAAGAAATATAGCTGTAGAAGAAGGTGATTCCCTAGGGGATGCTTGCACCATATCATCTCTCTCTTCTGTAAAAGTGTTAAAATGCAAAAAAATGGGCTTTGACTGATGAAGTCAAAGTAATGGCCCCATTCTGGGTAGCTGTAAATCCAGAGTTAAAAGCCTGTAGAAACATGAAGCTGTTATACAAGCTGGTAAATAGGCTAGCCCTCCCTGTCCTGAGGATCAGTGCAAAAATTGCCATCTTGGGAGAAATCAGGTGATCCTCCCAGGAACATCCCTACACTTCTTGTAGGCTGACAATACCACAAAATATCAGCTCAACAGATGTATAGTGAGCTCGGTCTGGCTGAAAACAAGAGGTGAGTCCAGCGGTGCCAGAGTGAGAGTGCAGAAAATGGAGTGTTTCACCATGAATGTGAAATGCTACAGAAAAGGGGAGAAAGCATGCCTTTAGAGGAATTTGTTGGTCAGCAAAAGGCAAATTAAAGGTCTGAGCTGAGGTGAATTTGTAAAAGAGGAGAAAGTTGAGTGGATGTAAATGCTCAGTAGTCATAGGTATGTTAGAAGCATAGCACAGTTATTTGGAGGACATGGGAAACATGCAAGGAGCAACTGTAGGTCATAGGACACTGACAAAAAACAAGTTGTGTCTTTTTGGACTGGGAGCATCTGTCATGCAGGGGGAGGCAGAGAAGTAGGAATGCAAGTGCTTGAAGGGGGAAGGGAAGTGCAGGAGAAGAAAGATCCTTTTGTGGGTAAGTTGGAGTATTAGAGTGGTTTGTTTTGCAGGAGTAAGCAGCACAGAAGTGGGTAGTTCCACCTGCTTAAGGAGAAGAATGAGGATGAGAAAAAGGAAGGTTTATACAACAGGGAAATTACAGAGAAAAAAAAGAGGGATGAGTGTTTAGGAGCTTAAAAACAATAGCAGAGGATTTGTGGAACTCTTTGGTGCTGCTGAAATACAAGGAAAGAGAGGTGAGCTCTTTTGGGATGTGGAACAACCCACAGAGACAGGGTATAAAGGGTGTCTGTGGGACCATGGTGGCAGACATTTGCAAGTCGATTGAGGGCTAAGCATTGGGAAGTCATGTACTAGCAGAGAAAAGGGATACAGACAGTCTGGGAAATGTACAGACACTGACATTTCTGAAGGTTCCAACTGTGAGATCAGATGAATTTGGAGGATCTAAGAACCCCTGAGAAAGGTTAAAGTGTAGTGAGACTGGGGAAATGGAAAGAAGTACTGGAAGAAAGGGAAGAATGGGCCAGCCCCTCCAGGAAGGACGAAAACTAAGCGCAGGATGGTTGAGAAAGCAGGGAACACAAGGACAGAGAGCCGTGGGCAGGCATACCCTGCTATCTGCTGAAAACTTGTTCCTTAAAAGTGTGACAGTCACAATTTGACAGATACCGAAACTATTTTTTCCCATAAGAATTAAGGTAACAGAGGACATGCATGGAAGTACAACACAAGTGTGTCTAGAGAAGCTAGAAAATGAGAAAACCACCGCTTCAGAAAATAAACAATACATTTAGAACTAAACTCTGCTTGCTGGAGTACTTGGAGAAGCTGGACAGATAGGTGCAAGGTTTGTCTGCACAGACTGAGGTCAAACCTAGAAAGAATTTGAGGAAAGGGTTACCAGGCTCTTGGGACAGGTTCAACAAAATCTAAGGGGTGGAGATGTGCTACATCAAGAAATGAAAAGGGCAGCAGTGCTGTTGATGAAAGGACAGAGGGGAACCACAGAGATCAGGAATACACCAGAGGGATGGCTGTGTTCGGTCTTGCAGTTCTTTATACTTACCAATGTGCAGTATTTAAAGGGGTCTTGTGAGCACAAAAGAGGAAAGCGCCTTCAGCTTCCAAGTACATACTTAAAGGCAATGAACTAAAAAAAGCTTAGTATCTAGAGATTATAGCAAATTTATTTAAAAAATAGTACAAGGGCTTTTGGTAAAGAAGCCTGGCAGGAGAGAACATGAGAAGAAAGAGTCATTTTGGCCTCTGCAAGAATCATTTAGTGGGTCTATGCACTGAAGGAAAGGATGTTATGGGACTGTTCATATCAGAAACCTGGGGAGCAAATAAGGGTGTTCCGAATAACTCTTATCTCTGGCAAAAAATAGGTCAAAGATTATCAGAAGTATGGAGGCTGAAGTGCAACTTTATTTTGGCCTGTAAACAGGGGAAGTTTTGTGAAGGGACCCAGTTACTTCTTCCAAGAGGAAGCATTGTAGGTAACCTGGAATAAACACTGGGCTGAACTCATGTATCCAACAGACACAGCTGAGCTGCCTATTTTGTAAAACCTATATCCCTCTCTGTTACATCTCTCAGAGAGTAATTATTTGCTCAGAGGTCAGAACAAAGATAAAACCTCTGTACTTCTCCATTATTGCCTCTCTTCACCAAGTTAAGGCTTCCAACCCCAGTGGATACGTCAAGAGCAGGGACCTCTGTCACTTCACAGGGAAGCTAGGTCCATTAAACAAGTGCTGATGCTGCATTCCTACTCTGAAGGAAAATCTTTTGTCTTCCCCAGCATCATTCAGTTACTCTCCAGCTGAGACAAGAAAACAAACACCCCAAAGATGAAAGCATGCAGCCTACTTTGATCAGTGCATTGAAACCTCAGGAAAGGCCAGAGCAAGGTGTAGGGCATCTAGAAACATGAAGGGTTAAGACATATCCATTTAAGAGCATTATAGTTGAGGCTTTTCCTCCACCAAATCTGAAGGTGTCAGGATGAAGCAGTTGATATGGGAGCTGCATGTTTAAATGCAGAGCTTGAATTTCTAATTAGACATATGAAGAACTACTCTGCCAAAGCCTCGGCCTTGCTTTTAGTGCACATTTAAAGCCATGTTTCATGCAGGATAAGACTCTGCAGGAGCAGCAGTGCTGATGCTTTAAAGGATAGCACCTCAGAAGGCGAGTTCCCAGCAGAGCATGGTACACCTACCTTTTCTTTTCCCATGCAACTCCTTTTGCAAACTTGCAGATGACTCAAGTTGGGCACAACTCTGGGGCAGCTTTCAGCAGCATGTTCAGCCCCAGCTCTGTGCTCCAGAGCAGCTGGCCAGCTTTGGAGAGTGAGCACTCAAGTCCCTAGGTTTGGCTAGGGACTTAAGACACTATGTAGTCAACGGTCTGGAAACACATCTGTTCCAAGAAAAAGTTTTTCCTACACCCCTACCTGAGCAAGGCTGAGAACTAACAGGACAACACACAACTTGGCAGGAATTGTAGCATGACTAGCTCATTCAGGTTGTGCAGGCCTGTTCTGTGCTGAAGTTTAGACTGTACATGCTGCTTTAATCCACCAGCCAGTCCAGACACCCTCCTTTCCCTGGAAGACTTTCATCTTTGAAAGAATTAGCCTAGCTGTACTGCTCCAAAATTCACCATTGACCATACATTGTTCTGGTATGATTTTGGTGATGGTTAAGACTGGACAAAGATTGGTCATAAGGGAACCACAAGCCACAGGGAGTACTGTTGTACAACCTGAAGTTTGTAACAGTGGGAGAGATATAAGGGCACAAGTACCTCATTTTAAAATAAGTCCGCACTGGACAAAGCTCCATCATTGCTTTTTAATGAGTTTCAAGCGTACGGTGAAGCAAAACAAGGGGGCGCTTACCTTTATTCCAGCCATGCTCCAAGATAGATACACTGTGAACAGCATCCTACTCTTGGGGGTCATTTGGATCATGAACACATGTCCCAACACCAATGGAGAATTGTTTTCTGGGTTTAAGGACCTGAGGATAGGTTATTGAAACCCAAAGGCAGCACAGCCCAAAGAACTAGAGCTACCAGCAACACACCCTCCCATTCAGGGGACTACCTCCCTACGCACTACACAGTGGCTGGACATTTGGTGGATAAAAGTAGAGTTGGATTGGGCAGCCTCTTCCCCCAGAGCTGCTGGTCCATACATCTTGTTACAGACTTACCACATAGTCAGTCCAGCACATGGTTCCTGTACAACTGGAACTACCATCATTGCAATGGAAGACCACCCACCGCTTTGAGGACCAGAACTTCAGGTGTGTGTATGGAAGTGACAAAAAACCCCAGATGTTCCAAAAATAGTTTGGTATCCAACCCCTCCCCACCCACTGACAGACCAGACAGACTCAGTAAGGTGGTGAATTGTGTTTCTTAGAGACCATTTAAAGTACATGAGCTGATTACTATAACATGCCAGAGGAGGTTACAGCTGTGTTTATAGAGGAAGGAAATAAACTGCACGTGCATGAGTGGCTGTAATGCTGTGGACAGCAGAGTCCCTTGCTTTTACTCAAAGGGCCTTGGTGATTTTTTTTTGCCCATGCATAGAGACACAAAGGAGGGGAAAGGGAGCAGAAGAGGCAACATACAACATCTAAGAGAAAGAAATGGAAGAGACAGCCTAGGGGGGACCTCAGCCCCCAGAGGAACAGGAGGAATGGGGCACCAAAAGCTTGTTTAGAAGAGTTCAAGAAAATTGCTGGTCTGGGGGCCTCAAGCTTGTATGCCCACCCCCTAAAATGACAGCAGTAAGTAGTACAAGCAGGCCCTGGCTCCTCTTCAGTAGATGCACTTCTGACCGTCCATCACATCTCAGTTCCACAGGGAATTAGGGAAGTGCTCAGGGGACGAGGGCTGCTTCACTCCAGATCTTCATCTCTGCCCTCACCCAAGGTGGAGAGGGATGGAATTGCAGGGAGATGAACTCAGCGCAAATGAAATGCTGGGGCATGGAAGTGAGCATGCAAAACCTAGCCCCTTCCCAGATGCTCTGTGAGGAGGAAAGGGGCTTCCCCCCCAGCACACCCAATGAAAGAAAAAACATCTGCTCCTCCCATCTTTTGTACTTCACTCCCATCTGGGAACTCCAGTGATGGTCTCCCCTACCTCCTGGCATCATCTTAAGCCTAGACAGATCCCAGTGTATTCTAGAACCGAGGTAGAGCTTCCTAAATTAAAGGAGTGCCCTCTTTCCAGTCTAGATTACAGGCTACAGCTCAGCTTGTAAAAAAAGACAAGATGCACATTCCTCAGAAGACTCTGCAGAAACTGAGGAACAGGGCAGCTCATTTAACCCCAGGTTTGACAACACATTCGAGCAATTCAGGGCTTTTGTTATTTTTGAAGGAGAAGAACAAGGAGATCGCTTACAGAAAGCCACAGCATTCCATGCTGCAAGTTTACTTCCAGCAGAGACCATCTTGGATCTAAATTCAAGAGAACCCATAGCAAGTAGGAGGATTTCAGTTTGATAGGCAAGATCTCTAGAGATCTAAGCTGCCAAACTGGGACATCTGATGTCACTTTGCAATACCCATGCCCAGAGCAGCATTTCCCTTTGAATCCCTAGCTAACCATTCTGATTATTTTCTAACTTCTGCTGAAAGTTAGGGCTTTGTGGTAGCAGAAACAGAACAGGTATTCATAATCAGAAAGCTGTGTGGTTCATTCAGTCTCATCTGGAATACCTCCAGTCTCCTCCACATCCATCTGCAATATAGTGGACTTCCTTTGACATTCAACTCAGTAACACAAAAGCAAAACACCCATTCCCACTCCCACTCTGCCACTACCCCAAAGTCTTCCGGAAAGCTACAAGATAGTAGAAAGCCACAGGGTCCTGGCTTGTGTCTGCATAGATGAAAGGAATATTTGACACCCCCCACCAGACTCCTCACTGTTGTTCTTTCGTTCCTTCTGGCAGGAGATTTTACTCCTACACACACCTTTTAGATAGTAACAAAACTACTTTCACTTAACTGTGTTTAGTCTGTTGCACTTGACTGAGGTAATCATGTAGGCTCTCCTTTATAACTGAAATGGCCATGTTCAGACAGCAAGTCATCTGAAAATAAGGACAGGCAAATAAATCGTTTCTTTAAATGCTCATCTCTCCATGGCTAGAGAAATCTAGATGACTACATCTAGCTCAGTCAGATGGCTCACAGTCACTGACCAACACCACAAACTAGCCTTTATTTCAGAAGCTCAATGAAAAGCTTAAGTCATGCTGCCACTCTTTTTAGGCAGAACACTAAAGAATCTCACACGCTGTAGTCCTTCATCCCCAAAGGCACTGCATTAAGGCATTCTTATTTTGCTAGAGTCCACACAGGCACTATTTGACAAGCTTACACCCAAAAATAAACCACAAAAATTCCCTGCAGAAGAGCAGGAGCAATAGCTACCCACTCCTCCTCTACTTCCCTTTCCTCTAAACTCAGAGGACCCTCCCTAAAGCTGCAGCAGCTGTTGAAGAGTCTAACCATGTTCAGTAGAGCGCTTCAGAGTCCTACACAGAAGACAAATTAAAACCAATAAAGAAATCAATGAAGAAGCTAGGTGGAAAGGAAGGGAAGGAAAGATTCAGGGGCAAGAAGAGACAGGCAAGGGGACAGTAGGTTGCAGACTGAAGGAGATACATTCAAGTAAAAAAGTAGACTGGAGACAAAGCAATAGGAAAAAAAGGAAAGAACAAAAGGGCAAGTTACACCAAAGGTCCCCCAGAGACCTCCAAATCCCCCACTAGGGAAAGGGGACTTGCCAACCCACCCACTCCAGGGTAAATGCCCCTCATACTTACAGGTTTACCTGACCTGGCAGACAGAATTTCCCATTTCTACAATGATGGCCACCCCCAATTCCTTCATTACCATGTAAAGCATACCATTTCCACAATATATGTGGGAGTTCCAGCACCACCACCTCCCTTCCCCAAGGACTGAAGTTAACACTTATGCAACCAAGACCCTCCAGATCTCAAACCAAAAAGGAAGAGCTTAAAGTACTCTAGAGTTGGTGCTTCTTCACCTTTGATCCTGGGCTTTTCGGTACTTACTTACAATCACCACCACCACAATGGCACAAATCACTCCCATCATGATCATCATCTGGAGAGAGAGATTGTCAGAGAGTAATACTCAGAACAGATCGACAAGTTCACATCTTCCCTGACAGCAAGGGAACATAAGCCAGACCCTGAAGGTAGGACAACCAAGGCCTCAAAGTCTTTCCACAGTGAAAGAATCCTAAGCATGTGAAATAGCTATTAAGCCCCAACTATCCTCTCAAAGCCCCGCAGCAGACGACTAGCCCAATTTCCTTCTAATGAAGGAGATCACGGCACTAGGAAACTCACCTTGCAGTTCTTCCACCAGTACTTCCTTTTGAGTTTTGCTGCGCTACTTTCAAATTGTGAGGCACCGGCCTGAAGTGCATCTGCCCGGTCATCTAGCTCTGACAGTTTCTGGTCTCGTTCCAGCACCTTGTCTACATTTACACGCATTATATCAACCACCTGCAGAAGGAAGAATAGTAGCAGCAGTTGTATTGGTAGAGAGAGTTGAAAAAGCAAGAGCAGTAACTTGGCCAATAACTAACACTAAGATACTAACAAGTGAAAGCCCTAAACAAAGAAGGATATGACACAGCTTCCAAATCGCTGCCTACTTTGAAGTGGGGGAAAAAATTCTAGACCCCCTCTTAAAGTATCAGTTCAAGTACACTTAAACCAGGTCCTCAGCCCAACATTCTCGCCCGTTTTTAAAAGCTCTCAAATCCAGCAAGCCTAAGCCACCCCCCTCATGAGAGTAATCATATGCTCGCTCCCCGGTAACTGCAAAGATAACTTAGAGCTACATGTTGCTGCCCCAGTGAGGCATAAAGGCGTTACTGCACGTCAGCAGCCACGCTACAGACACTGACCCTGGAAAGTCAGGCAAGGTTCCCCACACATCACACATTGAGCCTGCACACAGACTGTTCCCTTGAAGCAGCAGGCAGGGATTAAGAGCTGTTCGGGATGCTGCATAGCTTTATTACCGTAACAGATGCACGATACAAGGCACCAAAAATCTAACAGAAGTCATACCTGGAATTAAGCAGCTTTTAAACATAAAAAAATTTCATCTCTCCTCCAACCTCTTTATAGGTCCACCGTCATACTTTGGGTATTGAGCATTAACGCATTTCTGGTATTAGCATGACAAGAGCATCCACCCCCTCAGCAACAGACGCTTGTCAAGAACATCGCTGCTGCAGAGCAGCGGGAGAAGAGTCCAGGCAGCCTACGGAAGCCAGCACAGTTGGCAGAGCTACTAACCTCCTCCACTTGGGCCTGCGTCTGCTGCAGCCGACGGTTACTGCTCAAATTGGAGAGGGACCCGGGGGGGCCCCCGCCAGGGGCTCCCCCTTCTGGGGCCCCGGGAGCAGGTTGCTGAGCTGGGTCAGACCTAGGGAAACACACATACGGGCAAAGAGAAAACCCAGTCGGCCACTCAAGAGAGAGGACACCCCCCCAAAATCCACCTGAACCCCAGTGCCCCCGGCTGGGGCAGTGTCAGCAGCAGCCCCGAGGGCCCGCGCCCTCCCTGGACCCCCCCGGACCGGGAGCGGGCGAGCCC